AAATTTTTTTAGTATATTACTTGTGTGGTGTAGAAGATAATTATTTATGTAGAGATACTGCTTGCAAACCAATGATGTAAGATGATGTCATGGGGTAGGACTGGATAAGTCTGACTTCTTCCTACTCCATTCAAGCATGTACTAGGTATAAGCAAATTGATATTGGATTAGCATTTGTTGGATATGTGTAAAATTATGTGTGTTGACATATCAACTGTCTTTACATGCTTGAAAGAATAAATCAAATCAAATCAATTGTTACATTATTATAATGTGACACCAAAAGAGTGCTCATGTTATTTAACTTTTAACTTGGAACTAAATAAACAAACAATCAATACTACTACAAGCCTTGTTTTCTCTCTATTGTGCCAAAACAAAACACAAAATAATAAAAAAAAAATAAAAACAATAGATAAAGCAAAATAAATCCTACATTTGTGCCATGTTTGTGCCTCTTGTTCTGTACCTCTTATAGTAATTTTGACTTTTTGGTTGTAAAATCTAGAGTTAGTTTCCAAAGAAAAGAAGGTTTTGAGTGAAATCAAAAGGGCCAAGGAACAGTAACATTCTTAAAATTTTGAGTGTATTACTTTTGAGCTTGTGCACAAAAATGTGTGGTGGCATTAAGGGGTTAAAGTTTCGTGGTCACTGTGGCACTGAGAGCTTCACAGATAAAGAAAAGGAAAAGGGAGAGAGAGAGTCTCTTCAGGCTGATCCAGGACTCTCAGGTACTCATTAGGAAGCCACATGACTGAATGGATTCTTCTCTGCCTGAGGCATCTGGTCATCTGCTCTTTGCTCACATTAAGATGTAACATATCAGATGATCCAAAAATGCTATGTAACCACTTGGCAAGAATTTTGTCATTAAGCAATAACTTGATGGTAACGTAAATAACTGTCAGGTTTGCTCGGCCGCTCTGGCCTCCCTCACCTTTCCTACTGTCTCTTGCCCATTAACACTAATCACGTTCACCTGTTCCTCACTCCCTTATCACCAGCTGCACTTGATTAGGTTGCTCACTATATTACCCGGTTTCACTCCTCAGTCACTTGCCAGTTC